TAATAAAGTAAGGTGTCAAAATACTAACAACTTCTTAACTTGGGTGATGGTTATATGGCAGATTCTTGAGTCTCATGGCAACTCTTCTGTAGCTTTAAAACTCTATAAAATTAAAAACTAAACAGCACGTTAATGAATTAGTATGAAGTGGAGTTCAACAGGGCTGTAGGGATATCTCAGGGGTTACGAGCGCTCGCTGCACTTCCAGAAGAGCAAGTTCAGGTCCCAACACCCACCCACATCAGGCAGCTTCTAACCACTTATAACTCCAACACCAGTGGCTCTGACACCATCTTCTGGTCTCTCCACCAACACTTTCACACATATGGTACTCCATCCCCCACCCCCGAACACCTACACCTACACACACACACACACACACACACACACTCACACACACACATACACATCAGAGTTCGAGATGACTAGGACATTGCAACCAGAGGAATCAACCCATTCAAGTCAGCGAACTCTGAAAGGCTTGCTGGGACTGGAAGGGACTGTGGCTCATTTAGAGAGCTTGGCAGAAAGGACGCCACATTTCATTTGGGAAAGCTCAAGAGAAGTTAACAAAGGAATTATTTACAAATCTATGAGGAGTTAGACTACCATTTAGCCCAAACTTTTCTTTCCAACTTTACTTTCTTACAGGGCCACTTGGGATGTGTCATTATAAGAAAGGTAGACTATTTCATTTCATCTGAATATATCCATATGTTTTATCAAGTAAATAGCCACTTCTTATATTTCAGTATTCTGTATTTCAATTACTAAGAAAATAAACGGGCTGAGGTGTAGAATAGCCCATGCAGTTAAGTGCTCATCATACAAGCATACTTACTTGGGTCCGATTCCCAGAACCCATGTTAAAAAGATCCAGGTGTGATGGTACACACCTGTATTCCAAGCACTGGGAAGGCAGAGACAGGCGGCCCTGGGGATCACAGGCTGGGCAGATGAGCATCTTTAATGAATTCCAGGACAGTGACAGACCTCGTTTCAAAAACCAAGGTGGACAGCACCTCAGGAGGAGACACCGAAGATTGTGTTCTGGCCTCCACACTTGTGCCCACGCATACTCAGAAGCAAGACTGGAAGTAGATTTACAACTCTTAGAAGACCTAATAGTGACACCTGCTGGGACAAAGAAATAGCCAAATGGAAGGCGAACCTTTAAATCTTTAACATTTGAGAGCAGTTCTGGTTCTATTAAATTAGGAAGAAGTTTCTTGTTTTACCAGACTGGTGTATATGATAAGCAAATTAAGTGTACAGAAGGCTCTTTAATGTCCTCATGTTTACAAATAAAATTGTATTTTCTCCTTTTAGGATAAAGTCATTCTGGGAACTGACTACCCCTTCCCACTAGGGGAGCAGGAGCCCGGGAAGTTGATAGAGTCCATGGGAGAATTCGACGAAGAAACAAAGGTACATGCCTTGGACCTCAGTCTTCTTCCTGAGCTGAACAGAGAGCCCATTACACTTCATTTGCCTACAACTTTCATTTGACTCAATCTCTGACATCGCTAGACAATGAAAAACAAAATCTTAATGTCTTAATAACTAAATGAATAAATCTTCTGCATGAGAACACACACACACACACACACACACACACACACACACACACACGCACGCAAATGTAAAAAAAAAAAGTAATCAATGACTCTAATATGTACTTTATCAAGCCAATCATGCTTTAAAGTAAAACTTCTCTCTCTCTCTTTCTCTCTTTTATTCAGGATAAACTCACAGCTGGCAATGCCTTGGCTTTTTTGGGTCTTGAGAGAAAACTATTTGAATGTCACAATTAACCACCGAAAAACAAACTTCCAAGAAGCTACATCACTTCTGTCTTTGAACATGAGTCATACACACATCACTAAAATTCTATTTTGAATTATGTTACCCAAAAAATGGAATATCCCCCTCAGGACAATGCAGGAGGATCAGGAATTCAAATTCCAGGCCAGTCTGGGCTGAGACTGTCTTTAAATGAAAAGGGGTGCAGGGTGAGGGGTAGCATTCCCAAGTACTCTAACTTATTAATAACAAGATGTTTCATAAGGTCTTTATTTTGAAATGTAATGTACTAAAAAGCAGTACATTGCTACATATGCAAATCAAAACTATTTAATTTGAAAGAGATTAAAAATTAATGTATAATTAATGATCTACATAGAGAAAATCCAACACCAGCCTTATTCTAGAAAGCCCAGGTGGTTTCTCTATTTTGATCAAAGATATGGGAATTGTGCCCAAATAATCTGTTTTGTTTTTTTTTTCAGTTGTAACCCTTTCCAATAGTCTAGTCATTCCCTGGGAACATTTTTGTCTTTGTAAACTACACACAGGATATGTGCAAACTCAAATGTTCCAAAAGCCAGTTAAGAAAGTAAGGCAAATGCTCATGGAACAATTGCTGAATGATCCACCAGAAAGCTCAAAGACACTTCAGTCCAATTTATTTTAGTCTCCCAGAGTTTGGCAGATCTTAGAACTTGGGCTGAGTCCAGGAGGATGGATGGACACTTCTTTAAAAAGTAAAAAGATGGTGGGCTGGGCATGGCGGTGCATGCCTCTCATGCCAGCACTCAGAAGGCAGAGGTAGGCAGTGGATCTCTGATTGAGGCTAGCCTGGTCTGCGCAGCAAGCTGTAGGCCAGCCAGCCAAGGATACATAGTGAGAGTCTGTCTCAAAAATAAATAAGTAAGTAAATAAACAGAAGAGGGAAGGTAGATCAGAAGAAAAAGCTATGGGGACAGAGGTGTGACTCAGGATGGATGAAACTTGTTCTAAAGGGAATTTCATCTGTAAGTTTACGTTTACCAGAGCAGGAGGTGGAGTGAGCTCTGGGGAGTGAGATGACACCATGATACCCTTTGTTCAAGGCCCACCGGTCCACCTGAGTCGCAGCAAAGGGACTTGGGTCTGGGGCAGGGTAGCACGCAGCATCTCTCCTTCCCATCAGATAATCTTTCCATACTGCACTCTTAACTTGGGAGTCATACTTGCTTTTCTTCCCGTTATTCTACAGAACCAGGCTCCCTGTTAATGCATACCTTGTGCGGCTCTGCAACAGAGAAAGATGAGACCTAATCCATGCTCCCTGACTCCCATTCTCTCTCTCTCTCTTTTTTTTTTTTCCGCCACCTGTGCTTCAATACCCTCCCTCCTTCCGGCTCCTCTCATTGCTTTCTAGAATTTTCCCCAACTCTACTTACTACTCCAATCTGTCTTGAAAGAAAAATAAAGTTGAACAAAGCAACAATCGGAAGCATATGTTACTGTTTTCCTCCTTCCCCAAATCTTTGGAAGAAATGTCTACTCCTTTTCAAATATTTCATATCTGGGGATTACACACATAATATTTTTGTTAGTTTCTTTTGCTTCACTGTGACCAAAAAGGACACACACACACACACACAAAAAAAAAAAAAACTCAAAGGAAGTTTCAGTCCATTGTGGTGGGGGAGGGAGGCCTGGCAGAGCAGAACAGCTCACACTACTGTGGGACAGCGGCAGGGGAAGAGAATGCCTGTGGACTTGCTCCTTTTTCCTTTTTTCAATCTGGGACCCAGCCCACGGGATGGTGTCACCCACATTCAAGGAAGGTCACTGTCTCTTAGTCCTCTCTGGAAGGGTCTTCACAGACATACCTAGAAGTGGGCTTTAATAATCTCAAGATTAACCATCCCAAGTCCATCTCCTGTCAACCTGACATTCCAACACATCTCCTTATACCATAAGATTCAATCCCTCCCCAACCCCAATGCTCCAAAGCTCTAGTCCAGTTTCCGGAGACTGGGGCAAACACTTAGCTGTGTGCTCTGCTAACATCAAGGTATATAGTCCCAAGTACCTATCAAAAACATTCCCATTCCCAAAGTGAAGAATCCAGGAAGGATCTGCCCAAAGCAAGACTGACACCTGGCAGGGCAAATATTAAATCCTATAGTTCCATGTCCAGCCTTAGAAAGCTCTGTGTTAGTTCTCTACTCCAGGGACAGTTTTTCCAATTAGTTTGCATCTCTGTATCCTGGTAGTTGCAATGAGTGGGGGGCTCATTGATTACATAGGCTCAAAGTATCTTTTCTACTGTCCTGGTGCAAGATACTTGGCTTTTTTTTTAAGACTGTCTCAAGTATCCTAGCCTGACCTTGAGCTCAACTCACAATGTAGCCAAGTATGTCCTTGAACTTCTGACTCCTCCTGTCCACCTCACCACCACCACCACCACCACCACCACCACCACCACCACCACCACCACCACCAGTGCTGAGGTTACAGGCTGTGCCACCATGCCCAGTTTGTTTTTATGCAGTCTTGGGACAGAACCAGGGCTTTATGCATCTTCAATGCACTGTCTGCCGACAGAGCGCCCACACCCTCCTGGGTTCTTTTTAAGAGCCTAATCTCTTCAAACACCATGTTTTCTTACGCCTTAACTTGGAACACCATCCTTTTCTGACCCAATTCGTTTTCAAATCTTCTCTGATCTCTTGCTCCCAGTTCTCACTAAAAAACTAGTTAAAAGCAGTGAGGATGCCCATTTCAAAGCTGGGATAATGGGCTGCCTTCAAATTTCCTGCTCCAGTTTAACTAGTCTATTACCAATCAATCCAGCCTCCCATAGACTTAGAGCATAGACAGAATCTAGGCAACATAAAACAATTCTCAGGAGCGCCCTTGTTCCCAGCTACAGGCTCGCCCATTCTCACTGGCTCTCTGCCAGGAGTTCCGTCGGCATACTCCCAAGCGTTCTAGGGCCGGCTTCCTGACATCTTCCTTCCAATCAGTTCTTCTCAACCGCAGCCAGTCAAGTGTCAGCAACAGCTCCACTTCCCTGGTACCAACTTTCTCTACTAGTTACTCTTCTGACAGCATAATCCAGAAAGACAGAAACAACTTGAACCAAAAGTTTTCTTCCGCCTCAGTACCAGAGATTTCAGTACCAGGTATGACGGGGTGGAACATGGTAGTTCATGTCACAGTGACTGGAGAGCAGAGAGGGCACCTGTGGTAAGGGGGGTTTCTTTTGTCCCTTTATTCTATTCCACTTGCATTCAGGAGGTCCTTCCCCAGGTGATTTCTCTCCGGAAAGGCCCTCACAGACAACCCCAGAAGTGTGCCGTACTAATCTGCTAGGCACTTATCAATCCTCCCAAGATGACAGTCCAGACCAACCACAGGCTATGACTGCTTGGTTATCAGGTGACCTGATTACTTTATTCAATGTCACAAAAATATATGCAGGTATTTACAGTAGTGTTAAAGGTCCATTAAGGGAAATGGCATGGAATTAACGGCCTAGAGACCTAAGATTACAGCTAGCCTGGTCAATTGCCTGGCTAAGGAATCACCCCTCTGAAAGGTGTGCTCATCTTAAGGCAATGGCTCTCAACCTTCCTAACACTATGACCTTTTAATATAGTCCCTCATGTTGTGGTGACTCCAACCATAACATTATTTTCATTGTCACTTTATAACTGTAATAATTTTGATAGTTATGAATTTTAATGTAAATATTTCTGTTTTCAGATGGTCTTAGATGATCCCTGTGAAAGGATTATTAGACCCTCAAATGGGTTGTAACCCACGGGTTGAGAACAACTGCCTTCAATTATGCTAAAGGGATGGAAAAAATATTAGGCTTTGAATGAAGTTGTGTACTTTTCCTTTCCAGACTCTCTGCCCTCTGTACAGGTGCTGAAGGGCCACAGCCAGGCAGCCTCATTAAGCCTATCAGCTTCTGATATTTGCCGAAGCCTAGGCATGCTAACACACACACACACACACACAGGAATTTCTCCTTCTTTCTGTTAGCTCTCCTCTTTCAGCCATGTAGCTTACAAACAGCATGGCTTTTTTCTCATCATCTTCCTCCTCCAGGTAGATACCAAGGTTTATAACTTGGTGGCCCTGGCATTTTTTTTTTCTCCTTAAACCCTAATAAAGTTGTCCTTAAAGTTTCTTCTGAGTCTTTTAAATTTTTTTATTAGCATACTAAGAAACCTGAGAAGGGACCACAATTTCCCAGGTAACATGCAGCACCCCAGTGGAGCACCCCAAAATTTCTAGTAACACGGTAGATGCTCATATTCATCTTCACAAGAACATTTTTCTATGTGCCAGGGACTCAAGAATGTTCTAGGCACTGGATGGGGAGGGGGTATAGTTGTTTAAAAAAAAAAAAAAGGATGAAATTTGAAAAGTGAGAAACATTAAGGGGGGAGGCAAGAGAATAGAGGATGAGAGGAGGACCAGGAGGACAGAAGGAAATTTCTCTTTATTGCTAATGACCTTAAAGACATTAAGGAAAATGTGACAGTGACTAGAAGACAGAGTGGAAGTAAAATATTCAGTTGTGGAGCCAAAGAAAGCCACTGTAAGGAGGACAAAAGAAATCCACTGTAAAGAGGATTGGTTAACCATGAAAAGCCTTCCTGCCTGGCAACAGTGCAAAGGTGCTGGAGTTAGGAAGAGACTGGAGCATGTGGGCAAGCGAAAACAGAGGAAGCCAGAAATTTAGCTAGATCAGTAGATCACAGTGAAGCGTTTAGATTTTCATATTGAAGCTGTCCAAAAAAATTAACAGAATAGTATAAATTTAAGTTTTGTGGCAGGGGAAAACAAGCCAAGAAATACTCCTGGGAATAGAAGTGAGAAAGGGAGAGATTCTTAGTGTAAAGCAGCGAGATCACGTGAGGCCAATTAGAGAAGCAGCACAGAAGGCCAAGGTCAGTTAGTTTTGAGTATCCAAAGGAATGGAAAGGCTGACGCTGGAGAGATGGCTCAGCATCTTCCAGCTCTTGTGGAGGACCCCAGGTTCAGACCCCAGCAGCCATTACCTGGCTCACAACTCCAGTTCCAGGAAATCTGACAGTGTCTTCTAGCCATTGTGGGCACCATGCACACACATGGTGCACATTCATGCTTGTAGGCACTCCAACATACACTTAAAAATAAATGTTTAAAAAAATAAATGATTTTTTAAAAATAAATGGGGTTTAATGGATTAACAAGATAGTTCAGTGGATAAAGGTCACTGCCACCAAGGCTGATGACCTGAGTTCATTCCCCACAGTCCACATGGTAGGCAAGAAGAGGGTCTTTCACATTGTCCTTCAACCTCTACATGTGTGCTCTGGTGTGCCGGCAGCAACACGTACAATTGTTTTTTTTTTAAGTTTTAATTATATTATCTATGGAGAGATAGAGCTAACTCTTCCTTCCCAATCGGCTTTCAGTTTGTTTCTCTTGTTTATTGTATCACCTAAGACACTTCATACAATGTTGAAAGGAACCAACAGAGAGGACACAGCCTTGTTTTGTCCTGGATCTTAGCATCAAGCCTGCCACGGTCATACAGTTTATAAGTAATATAAGCGTCTGAGTGATTATTTTATACATGGATTGTGGGACTGCAGGGCTTGGTGGAACCTGGAGAGACGTTCTCCAGCAACAATGGTCTTCTGTAGATGCTCTCTGTCAAGTTGAAGGAACTCTCCTCCGTTTCTTTTATGGTTTTTGTTGTTGTTGTTGGGTTTTTTGTTTGTTTGTTTATTTGTTTGTTTTGGGTTTTTTTTGTTTTTTTTTTCTCCTTTATCTCAGTAGGAATGGGTGTTGGAGGAAGGCACTGATAGAATATGTTGCTTTTCATCAATCTAGGAAACAAGATGTGCTAATTACTATAATATCTGTAACAAGGTATTTAGGTAGCTGTTCACAATAACCACCTACAATAACCAAGACATTAGCATAGTATGATGGAGCAGGCAGTAGGCTGAGGGCAGAAACCCCAAAAATACTGACAAACAAAAGCTTCAAGTTTTAATTACAAGCACACTAGCCCTTTTATTTGTTTTTTAAGAGTTTTTTTTTTTTAGATAGGGTCGTTTTCTTTACATTTATCTATTGTGCATGACTGTGTGTCATTGAACACATGAAGGTCAGAGGACAACTTGTAGGACTTGGTTCTTTCCTTCTACCATATGGACAGTGGTGAGTGAACAAAGGATGTCGGCAAGTGCCGTTAGCTGCTCAGCCATCTCACCAGCGCTCACTTGCTGTTTCAGAAGCCAGTTTGTACTACCGCAGTCTTCAGCACACAGCTAAAACCTTAAACATAAATTGGTCATATGCAATAAGAATTAACTCAGAGGCAGATAGCATGTAAGCAAGTAAGTGGCATTTTCTTGCAAAAAGGTGGAATTAATCATCAGTTGTAAGAGATCTTACTTGATAAAATCCTAAAGAATTTTTTCTTCAGGCACTGGCCTATAATCCCTGCACTCCTGGGGTGAGAGTAGGGGGATCTGGGGTTCAAAGTCATCCTCCAGCCTCTGTCAGTTCCTGGACAACCTGGGTTATAACATTCGGCTTCTCCCCAAACTTCCACAAACCCCGAGCAGCAGAAACCACACACAGGTTTAAAACCATACACCCAATCTGTATGGAAGGGCTAGAGAGTCACGTCCTCCAATTATTAATTGCATAATGTTTGGCGAGTGATTTAAAAAGAAAGGTATCTGGAGTGGTGTTTCTCCCCCCCCCCCCCCCGCGTCTGTAATCTCAGCACTTCGGAGGTGGAATCAAGAGGATCGGGAGTTCAAGGTCATCCTTGGCTACATAGTGAATTCAAGGCCAGCCCGAGACACAGGTACATTGTTTTAAAATAGTAAATGAAATAAACCCACCCCTTGGGTTTATTTTAGGTTTATTTAAAGTAACGTTTTAAAGGCGTTTACCTCCAACATCTACTAGCGATTTTGTTTGGTTTGGTTTGGTTTTTCCGAGACAGGGTTTCTCTGTGGAGTTTTGGTGCCTGCCCTTGGATCTCGCTCTGTAGACCAGGCTGGCCTCGAACTCACAGAGATCCGCGTGGCTCTGCCTCCCGAGTGCTGGGATTAAAGGAGTGCGCCATCGCCGCCCGGCCTACTGAAAACTACAGAAGACACAGAGGTGCCGACCATGGATAGAAAAAGCGTTATTTTTTCCCAGTCTTGCCTAGCTGACTCCTCTCCCGAGCCGCCCGGGGGACGGCAGTCATTCGTGGGCACAGGAGCCAACACACCCAAGAAAATACACCCAGGAACTTGTGCGGAGAGTGGAGGCTGCGGCGTGAAGCCGCACGGGAAACAGACTTCCCGTCTCCCAAGAACCCGCAAACTCACAGACCGAGAAACACCCCGCAAAGCGGAAAGCATCCGCCCAAGCCCTAGTGCGCAGCCGCGTGACCTCCCCTCGCCCGCCCCGCCCCTTCGCCTTCCTCCCTTCCCGTACCCAGCAGGCACCGCGTCGACCTTTTCTTTTCGAGTGACCCCTGCTTTCGGCGCCTTCCCAGTGACAAGAGGCGCGGAGCATTGTGGTCCCGCGGGCCAGAGAGAGAGAGCGAGGCGGGAGACCGGAAGGAGAAAGCCCAAAGACCAGTGCGCGCCGGCGGGGAGGAGCCCGGCGCGTGCGCACTGGGAAGCGGCAGGACCGGAAGGGGCGTGGCGCACTCTACGGAGAGCGCAGTGGGGCGGGGCCTCGAGGCCTTGGCGCGGAGTCCCCGAGGCCGGCGGGGAGGGGGCGGGCTCAGGGTGCGGGCGGAGGAGGAAGTGTCATGGCGTCGGGCCGTGGAGCTTCTTCTCGCTGGTTCTTTACTCGAGAACAGCTGGAGAACACGCCGAGCCGCCGCTGCGGAGTGGAAGCGGATGAAGAGCTGTCGCATCGCCAGCAGGCGGCCAACCTCATCCAAGACATGGGGCAACGTCTCAATGTGTATCCTTTTTCCTAGCGGCGGCCCTGCGTCCCTCACGCCCCGGTCGCGCTCGCCGGGTGACCGGGCCTAGTGTCCTGCGAACATGGCGCCGCTGCTGCCTCTGCCTCCTCCTGGCCTCGGGGAAGGGGGAGACACGGAGAGCTTGGGCCCGGGCTGCCGTGGCGAGCCGGAGGAGGAGAGGAGCCGGGGGAGGCCGGCCGGCCGGCGGCAGCCCGCGTTGTGTAACCTGTGCCGGGAAGCGCGTGATGCGCCGGGGAATAGCATTGCCGCCCCGGCGAGAGGGGGATCCGGGACGAGCGAAGCCGAGCGACGGCCCCCCTTCCGCTCCTTCGGAAGTCGGGAAAGGCTTTGAGACGCAGGAAGGTCCCAGATTATTTCACAGAAAGCGTTTTCCAAGCCTTCCTTGCCGGCTCCCGGGCGGCTCTCGTGTGCTATGGGAACGCGTGGGGGGATCTTTTATGTTCTTGGGGTGTGTGGCGCGCGCCTTCCGACTACTTTATTTCTGCTGTACTAAGCTGTAGCCATTGCAAATAATTCCCCGGCGCTCTTTACGTAGCATATTAGAGTAATTGGCATCGAGCCTGGTCTCTCTCTTCCCCCCCCCCCCCGCAGACTTTTTTATGTACTTACTTACAGGTTAGGGGTTGGATTTTCAGTAAATGGGAAGGAGCTATAATTAATCGGGGGTTTTCCATCCAGATTGATTTGGTTTTTAGAAATATTTTTCTCAGATTATTTCCTAAACGTTGCATCCCAGCTCTCAGCTTACAATAAACACTGCGATTGTTTATATGCACAGGTTTTATATGCACCATTCTTTCACCAAATTCAACAGAAATGTAAGTACTGTTTTACCGTCTTAGTCGCCGAATGTTAAAGTGAATAGGTAATGCAGGAAAAGTTAGTTGGTCATTGGTTTTACTGTTGGCTTTAGTGTTCTGAGTTTACTGTAAATGTGAGTTATGTAGTAAACATTTTGCCTCAAATGCAGGAGGGTGTGTGTGAGAGTTTTATTAATTAAACTGTACGACTTGGTGTTTAGCCTCTGCCAGACCTTCTGAGACAAAACAAAACAAAGCAGAACTTGTTTTGTTGGTTTGTTTGGTTTTGGTGTTTGGCTTTTGGTTTTGTGGGGTTTTGTTTTTTGTTTTTTTTCTTTTTGTTTTTTTTTTTTTGTTTGTTTGTTTGTTTGATTTTGAGATAGGCTCTCACTGTGTAACTCGGGCTGTCCTGGAATTCACTATATAGACTAGGCTGGCCATGATTTGAACTCAAAGAGATCCCTGCCTCTGCCTCCCCAGTGTTTGGGATATACTATTGAGGGGGATGGGGCGGACATGTTTCTTAGCTCAAAAAGGCAGCGGTGTTTTATTCATTTACACTTTGCAGCTGGGGTGATTTATATTAGAATAATTTCAGTAATCTGATACAGAGTATGTTCTTGTCCTTGGGGAGGCTGCATCTTAATTGTTATAGGACTCATTGTTTCAATTGTTATGGATTGAGATTTGTGTAAACATTGCGCAGAAGTGATACCTTTGAGAGGGCAGGCTGTTGAGAGGAATCCTTCCGTGAAGTTTCTCTGGGTGTGAAGAAGGTAGCCAGGCTGGGTGGCTTGTCCCCTCTCCTTCCCAGTTTTGGCAATGGCAATGTCAGTCCTCCCATCTCGCCCATCAAATATCCTGTCAGTTTCAGTTGCGATAGACCTTTGGGTAGTTTTGTACTGGTCTTGATATAATGTGCACATCGTTATAAATGGGTAGTTATTTTAATCAGTTTGTTTATTTTGAGACCATATCACTGTAGTGCAAGCTGGTGTCAAACTCAGAATCCTCCTGCCTCAGCCCCTCCACACACACTGCTGGAATTATAGGCCCGTGGAATTACAGACCTGATTTGAAATTTTAAAGCTGTCAAAGTTATGAGTTGATGTTTGTTCCTTTCAGAGTAACATGCAATGCGTTTTCTTAGTCCCCATGCCCGTGGGTATTAGAAATGTTTAGCTCCCACTTCAGTTTCTCACCACTCTTTACTCTTTGCCTTTTATTATAGTTTTGATAGTGTTATTCTGAAAGGTAGATGTAAGAAAACGGGCCCCATAAGGGACGATGTTGTTTGTGGATAGTCATTAGGTTCTCAGTTGCTAAGGAAACGGTTTTAGAAGTTTCTTATATTGTTACTTTTGAAGTGGCAGAAATTTCCAGGTTTAAGTTCAGTTATCTTAAATCTAAAAATCAAATTTGCAATTTTTTTTAAGACGGTGCATATTTTTAGTAGATTTGGGGCTCTTGCAGACCCTCTTCTGTGCTCTTTTTCTTTTTTAAGATTTATTTTCTGTGAGTGTTCTGTCTGCACGTACACCTGCATGCCAGAAGAGGGCATCAGATCCCACTATAGATGGTTGTGAGTCACCATGTGGTTGCTGGGAATTGAACTCAGGACCTCTGGAAGAGCAGCTGGTGCGCTCTCCAACCCCTTCTATGCTCTTTTAATCTGCTTGAGTCTTGCTCTTTCCTGATTCTTTTGTATCACTCTTAGTTCAGTAACTGGTGTAGAGGAGAAAAGAACCTCTTGATAACAATGTTCAAGCTAAGAGAATTGAGATTTTATTTCATATCTCCCTAAAAGTATGAATTAATATTGAACACTACATAAATTTGTTTTTTGTTTTTTGTTTTTTAAAGTAGCCCTGGATAATGTTGGTAGAAACTACAAGTCAAAATTGTGGGAATTCTTTTTTGTGATGGGTTTACTTTTCTAATTTCAGTAAAAGATCTCACCACAAGTTCTGCTTTTTGAGCCTTCCATCCCCCCGTCTGTTTGGGTGGCTTGGTTTGTGTGCTTTAAACAAACGTCTTT